ATAGAATAATCATAAGGGGTTAAAATGCTAATAAATTAAACTTTGGGGTCTAACAACTAGCAACAAGTTAAAAGAATAATAATAAAAATAAAATACTTCAGTAAGTGGGCTAGAGAAGCGGCTGGCAGCCAGGCACCAGCCACAGCAGGAACACAACAGCGGCAGCGACTCGATTTGCCCTAGCCGTCGGCCGCGGTCTACCACCACCACCAAGGTAACGACATTCATGTCCTCCTCCCATCGTTGACATTCTGCCTCTAGTAATCGCCGATATAACCATAATTTCACATTGATGAATTGATTTGACTTTGGAAGGTCGTGATGGATACTCAGCTTCTGAGCTTTAACCAGACCAACCTTTCTATTAAACCCTTGCAGACCCCACCTTTTCGCTTCGCCGGCGTTCACAATTTTAATTATCCTCGATCTCTTTCCTTTGCCAAAGGTACTGCCTTTGAATTCTGAATCTGTCTTGCATTTCGAAATATATCCTTATACTGTAATTGCATTGAATGCTGTTTCAGGATTGAGTTTCAACAGAATAAGGTGTGCAATGAAGTCTTATAAGTTATCAGAACTTAGTTGTGCCGAGGTAGAAAGCCTCAAGGCTCGTCCCAGGATATATTTCTCTTCTACATTCGGAATGGTGAATCCGATAATTGATGCTGTTCGTGGAAGAGGCGATGCTGCAGTCAAAGAGTCGGTGCTACTTTCATTCTTTAGCTCATTTGTTTCATATGGCTTTGTTTGGTTAATGATTTGGTTTTATACATCCGTAACTTATGGTTTCATTAGTTTATGGCTCGGATTATGGGCTCTAGGCCATGTGGTACCCACTCTCCAACCCTGCTCTCACAGAAAATAATTTTATTTTTTGAAATATTTCGAATTTAGGGAATTTATTAATTTCATGGAACAGTAAAACTAAGGAAAGCTTATTGTAAAGTGTTTGCTTCATGGAATCAATAAAATATGAAAAATGAAAAATACGAGTAGAAATTTTCTACTATTTTTCAAACTAAATATGCTTTAAAAAGTAATGATATTGATAATTTAGTTAAATAAAGTGTTTGTTTTTTAATTTTTTATATTACTAAAAAAGCTTAAATAAATAAAAAACATATCATAGGACTAACGTCCATAAATTTCCTTTAAAATCCTATTTGATTTGAGAAAAATAAAGTTTCCTTGCCTTTTTCCCTCAAAGTAAACAAGCTATAAAAAATATATATCTCTCATATATCAATCACTAATCAACATGATTGTATGTTTATATGACTTAAATTTAAAATTTGTTTCTTCTACTAAAATGGTGCTACCATTAAGACATTTTAGTTTTTTTCATATTAAATTTAAACATGATAGTGGTAGTGTGATCAAAATTATCTCTATAAGAATTTTTATAATTTATTCATTTTCTTTTCAAGTAGACTAGCTTAATTCTTTTTTTTGTTGCGAGATTCTCATAATCTCTTGCAGATGCTTAGCATTTTGTTAATTAGTAATTGTAAGAAAAATAATTTAGTCACTAAAAAAATAATATAATATACTATTGGGAGTAATTAAACATGTTGGAGTAATAGAATAAACTTTATAATTTAAAAGAAAAAATTACCATAATGATAAATTATTTTGTAATCCAAATTCTAAAGACTAATTATTGCTTTTACATAGCGGTGCCTTATAAACGCAGGAATGTTATGGAACAATTTAGCTAAAAATTCTAACTAACTAATTAATCTTAATTTAATCTTCCTATAACAGACTCTAACCAACTCTAAACGTTAGCATCCATTGTTAACCACCATTGACGGCTCAGCTTGCAAATGGGACCATATCACATGGAGATGATGGAAAAATTCAGAGCGTGGAGGAAATTCACGGATCGAAATGGGATACGACTTGTCCTGAGTGATAAGGGGAGATCTACTGGAGGTCCACACTAATACTGGTTTTTTTTTTTTTTGAGAAAACACATACTGGTTGTTTTACGATGCCGTTTATGT